GCTCATGAAAACCCCAAGAACCCCAAATCCACAACCTCAAAAAAGTAGATTATTACATGCAATCCATAAAACAAGGATTGTACATAGAACAATATCGGACCTCTGAAAAGTACAAGTATGCATATGTACTCAGTACTTGGTTTGGGCCCCTTTTGCAGCACTTACTGCAATTACTGTTGCACGATATTCTAATTATTCGAGTTTCACCTGTATGTATACACATATGAGAATTCATACTAGTGGTCCGCGGGATTTAAAATTATGAATTTAGTGGTCCTTGAGGTCCGAAAAGTTGGCAACCACTGCCTTAGATGATCCCATATAGCACATGTACAGCTATAAGGCTGTAGGCACACAGGCACCGTCACCTACCTTAAGTGCACCATTATTTTTCATTAACAATTCAAGACAGAAGATATATTTTTCAAGGTATTGCTTAGGCACAATTTACATTTCCCATATGTCTCCTATTAGACAGTAAATCTTTATTTTGTAAGTCCAGCTACCCACCCATCATCTATATTCTGAGCAGGGTGAGCTAAGAAGGGATGAACACACCAAGGATGGGTTTATTGTGAAGCATAATGAACAGCTGAATGTGTCACCTATCTGCCTGAAAAAGTCACTTACTTTATGTCTCTCATAATACTGACTGGAACCAACACCTCCTTCTTCTTCTCCAGTCCACAGCACCAAGCGGATGGTCCTTTTAGGACGCAGACCTAAAAAAATAAAACAGATAACAAATCTCAGGACTTGCACCATTCATTAGAGGAGATGATGCCAAAAATAGTTTAACCGCAGTAAAACCAATCAAGTGATACACAAGCCTTGCACACAATGACAAATAAAGTAACTCTGTAAAGAATGTAAATCTTGGTTATGTACACATGTACACATGCATCATCTATATTTGCTAGAAAATATAACTGCTCACTATAATATAAAATATGGAATGGTTGGGACAAGGATACATGAATTAAAGCATAGGTTTACTTTTCCACATTTTCACCTGTAATATGTATGCTGGGCATTCTTTGCATTTTCAGTTATCTACACCCACTGCCTCACTTTGCTGTGTGCTGTGTTATTACATTTAGGTTGTTATCACAGGTGATAGGGTGTAACAGGAGGAGCCTGTTACATCATAGGGTGTAAACGGAGGAGCCTGCTACACCCTATTTATAACAATATTAGGGTATTATTTACAGGGTAGCTTACATCGTCTTCAGAAGACAAACAGTTTGTATGTAGGCAAGTCTGAGGACTTCTTGCTTTACATAAATTTGTCAGTGACAGACTGACTGGGGCTTTCAGAAGGCTCCCTGGTGGTTCTGAAACCTCTTGGCAGTCATTTAATTGAATCCCACTGCTTAGGGAAGATTGCAAAGGAGAGACAGAAGATATTAATGATATATGATTAGGCTTTCTATAGAACCATTGGGTAGTCGTTGGTTGCACACAATTGCAATGCATCTGGAAATAATGTCTACCCTATATTTTCAGTTGGGAGGTAAGGACTTTATGGACTTCATGTTCTACATATTTAAGGTTTAAGAAAAGAAATCCAGAAGATTAGATTTCCAGCAAACTTTGTGAACCAAAGAGTGAGCGGCATAGTACAGTAAACAGTAAATTGTCATGTTTGTAAATTGTCAACTTTTCACCTGTAGACATTTAAAGCAACCAGACTGATGCAAGCAAATTTTCTCTTTGTATTGCACTAAATAATTGTTTCAAGCATCTGGTCAATTACAATGATCAGCTCAAAAGGTTAAACACATGGGAAATCAAGATTGTTTCCTTTTTTGGTCTGATGCATACAGTAGATCTCTATTAAAAAAGTACTATTTGAAGTAAATATATAGACAATGTCTATAAACACTGTAGCAGGTCATCATGTAGAGAGCAAGGAGAGGTCCTGTCCAGGGTTTATGTGTCACCCAGATTCCTCTCTTACACCTTCCGGAACCCCTAGTAAGCTTCAGGTTTTACACTTTGCCTCAGTGGCAATATAGTGCAGGTGAAGCAAACAGACAGAGCTCAGGAGCCTGGGGAGCAGACAGCCTCTATCTGCTGGAGCACAAGGTTGGTCATGGTGGATTGCTGAAGCCTGACAAACAATAGGTTTGTACAGTTTGGTAGTCAGGACTATCTTATGTTTAGTTAGTGCCGGGACACGGCTAGGATTTTGTTTTTGAAGTGTTTACTTTATTTGAGCGCTGTACAGCACTGTATATAGCCTGTATATACATTCTGCTGCTCACATGGTGCGACTTAACAGGAATGCATTAATGTGAGCATGTGCCTGTTATACATGCTGTTACCATCTAATGGAAAGTGGCCAGGGAGAAAGGAAAGGAACCTGCTGAATGACATTCCCTCTAGCCCTAACCTGAAAGTCCTCCAATCTGATGAAACTCTCATGGGTTTCACTGGGGTCAGATGCTTGTGCAGGTCGTTAAACTTAGCTGGGTGCAGGTGAAAAGATCAGGGCAGGTTTGCTTTTACATAATATATTTTCCTGCAGTGTACGAACACGTACCAGCTCCCCCCAACTTCAAAGGCCTTAACACTTCCTGCCTCCTAAAATTTCAACCTGGTTTGACACAGGGGAGAAGGGAACAGAGAGCACAGACTGCTAATGTTCTGGGAACATGGCCAAAGTATAGTTTGAAGGAGGAAAATTGTGTGCTACATCTCACTAACTGATGGCAAAGTATTGCCAATGCAGGTTAGAATTTGCACTTTGGTGGTCATAACCTTCAGACAGGTTGTACACTATCAAAGCTGTAAAACTTTATTGTGTTTTTTTCTGCTTGGATTTGAAAGTACCTCTGACATCTGTCTATAATTTCTGGGGATAGAAGAGATTTTACTATTGTTTAAATGATGCCATTCATGGCATTAGGCCCGCTAAACATGAGCAACTTTAAAAAAAAAAAGAAATGTTGTCATTACAATCTACTGGAACAAATTACAGGTAAAGTTACCTTGAGTATCCTGCTACTGAAATACTTAGTAAAAACTTTTGATTTGACTACTAGACAAAAATGTACAGCCTGTAACTTTAGCTCAAAACAGGGAAAAAAATACTGAGCTCATGAAATCGCACAGAGTAGCATACAATAGTGGGGATTGTTACGGAGAAGTTCTCAACATTCTTCCATTGCTGACTGGTGAAAGGTATTTCTTTGTTTCTAAAAAAAGACATACCTGAATTCCGCTCTGCTGATGGCTGCATGAAAACATATTTCTCAGCAGCTGATTTTGTGCCATGCTGCCTATCTGGTGCACAAATGATGTATTATTCAGAAAAGGCTTACATGCACAGGCACGGACCAGCATACAGAAAGAAATGAGAAAGAGGTTTGGAATAATAGTATATTGTCTAAGACATGGTATCAGTCCTATGAAAATAATGTGGGGCTCTAAGAATAATGGGGTGGATGTTTACAGAGCACACTATTTTCCGAAAGAATACCTTGTATTTATTTTACTTATTTTATGCAGTTTTGAAATTTTTTGCAAAGAACAGTGGACCTGTTTCATCAGTCCTTGTAGAAGCTGTCATTTATATGCACATACACTTGTGGCATCTTTTTGGTAGAAGCACATGAAAAGTGGTGAACCTGCACGTGGACTGTGCAAATAAATAATCTGTGCCAAATATTGATGTTTATCATTGTTGCTGCCTTTCCCGTTTGTATGGTGCCACCTATGCCTATCAGGAATTTACAAGGCACAACATACCGCAATGGCTCCTTTCTTTACTTCCCGGCCACATTCACTAGTCTATTCCAAGTTGGAAAGGGCAAGGTCGCAGCATTGGTAATGCAACTTAATATCAGCATAACATCTCATTTAAAAAAATTATAATACAGGTATCATGTGAGGTATCTATCTAAAAAATAAACAAAACAAACTCCTAAACATTACCATTAGTGTTGGAGTGGCATCTGGCTATGCCAAAGGACACTTAAGTTCAAATTAAAGACAAAGATAGTTAAATTGACAAGGTAGAAATTACAAATATGGCTGTGACAGCCAATAACTGCAGGGAAGGACCTAGTCATGTTACTACAGTCTTCAAACTACTTGCAGGTACCCCAGCATCTATCTATACAGAAGTCTAGCCCCTCATACACAAAATGGCCACTTAGGGCATAATTAATTATAAACACTATTAAAATGCATATACAATCATCGTAAATTTACCATATGCGACTTTTCAGGGGCTAAAATGATACAATCATATTTCACCTGTGTTTTTTTATATAAAAAATATAAATTGTATTTCTATATACAATCCGTGCACTGTTAAATGTATAGCATTATTAAAAACATTCAAAGAGTGCAGTGTATAGGTTGGACCCGTGGTTTCCCCATCAGCGTATACACTTTCCCTCCACTGCATATGCAGGCAAGGGAGCACAGAGGGACCAAATTTGTAGGAATTCTCCAGGCAGCCCAAACAGATCCTTGGATCCTTAATTCCCCAAGAGTGGAGACACATCTAGGATAATTTCAGGTAAAAGTGAATAAGGGTTCAGGTAAAAACCTTAAAGTAGTATTAAACCCTCTGCCTTTTTTAAATGTACTGGGTAATATCAAGCAGTGGAACATTACCCAGCAAATTGTTTCCTTATAAAGGTGCCTGAAAGATTAATTATCCTACCTGCTCACCGCCAGCAGCTCATGGTCCACAGCGCTGCTGCTTGAACATCCAGGTAGTGGAGCGTGATCCCCGTGCCCTTCACATGCAGGGAGAGTGCAAACTCCAGTCGCTGTCAATCAGCAGCTGGAGGGAGGAACAAGGGGAGTGGCGTGCTTGCGGGACTATAGGCTTCATGGACGTAAACACACGTGTCCATGTATCCATGCTTAGGTGGCTCCATGAGAGGGCATGTTCTTTGCAGCAAGATTTGAAAGCAGCCACAGCGGAAAAACAGAAATGGACATGCAAACAAGGTAAGTGCTGGGGTCTACAATACTATGTATATTTTTTTAAGTAAGGATTAATATCACTTTAAAGAATGGTCTAAATTACTCCCGGATGTACTATCCAAATCCTTAGATATGGCAATGTAAATCCTCCAGAGGTTGTAGCTGGTTGGGGGTGTGCAGTGCTGGTATTTGCTGCTTTATACACTTTTATTCACTGTTATACTGGATTTGCTGTGAATTTCAATAAAGTCTGAAGTATTGTAATTTTCTGGATAGTGCAGTCTGTTCGTATACTACTACATTCTAAGGTGGAGACGATAGGTGGAAAATTGTTCTCTTTCAATGTCCAGCCACCAATGCATTCTCCAGGTTGTGGCCCAACTAGGCTGATTGGAAAGCACTGAATTTACTGTGATTGCATTTGGATGCATTTAGAAAACACACCTAAATGCAGCTGGTGTGAACAAGTCCTAATGAGATTCTAAATACTGAAAGGAGAACTATGAGGTGAGGGATTTCCACACATCCTCATAGTTAGAGCCGACCTGTGACAAAGAAGCTGTCACAGGTCGGCTCTATTGATCGGGAAGTGAGCAGGAACATGCAAACGATTCACTCATTTCCAGATCATCTCCCTGCAGAGAGTGGTGACTGTCAGTCACGGCTCCCCGCAGGGATTCCCCCTCCCCTCTCCGATCCTCCAGTGCTGACTGGAGGAATTTGCAAGGGAAGGGGTGGGCACAGCTGGGTCTGCCTCTAGATAGGCAGAGCAAGC